CTTTTGAAAATAAGTAATCAGTAAAGTAACGGGATTACTTTTTGGGGGAAGTAATCTGTAATTAGTTACTGATTACTTTTTTCAAGTAACTTGACCAACACTGGTCTTCCTCGCCTCAGCCCAACCAGTTGCTGTAGACGACTGCCCTACTTGACAATTATGGCTCAGGGATAAAATACTTATTTCACTCAGTGTCATGTAAATCAGTTAAAAAAAATTATGAAGTGTGTTCTGACTGAACTTGCTGTTGACTCTATTAGATGAAATGATATTTTGGCATTAGCAAACTGAATTACAGGTTCTTGTGAGGGGAAGGCACATGAACACAGGAGTAACCAGACTTTCTGCATCTTTGAGAACCTCACCTCAACTGTGCGTCTGACTGGAGGAAATAGCTTTAGCACAGTACTACTGCAGTATCAGTACTACTGCAGAATAAGACAATAATCGCAGTCTTTGGAAAATACTTTTACTAAGCCATGTACTTAAAACTGTCAGACATAAAGTCGTTGTAATGTACGACTGCTGGCTGGATTTCTTGTTGTTGGTTAGTGATTTTAGCAGCATTTGTTACACAAGCACCACCTCGCAGGATGACACAATAGAAATAACTCATTTGGTTTTCTTCTGGCTGCCTCCAACAGTCCATGTGTGTCAGGATAATTGTACAGGTACAGTAAATGTAGTGTTTGAAGAGTACACAATGTGAATGGGTGAATGTGACTTGTAGTTTAATATGCTTTGAGCAGCCAAGAAGACTAGAAAAGTGCTATATAAGTTCCAGTTTAACCAGTGGTTTGCTTACAACCTGTAAAATGCAGTGTATGTTTCTTGCCCTTCCTTTTTGCTGTTGTCACATAGTCAGTGCAATGCCACTGGATAAACCTCAGAGCAGAAGATGCCTGTTTGATGCAGGAAGTGTACTGTGAAGGTGAGGAGATGCTTGATGCTTGTAAAAGCTTGCTGACATGATGCACGAAGCCACCTGATGAAATCTGTCAAAGACAAACTTTGTGGGTGGATTACATGAGTAGCACTAATGTTTTACTAACTTTGAAGTACAATAATGAAACAGATGCCCCACTTAACACAAAGTGTTCTGTAGTAAACATAAATAAGGCCCATACAGTAAAAATGTCTGCCACCCTGCTGCTGCTGATGAACTCTCTCTGGCAAATGCTTGACACTGCTTACGTAAATAGGCTTCTTTTAAAAATGGCTCTATTTGCATGACAAAGCCCGATGGTTTCAGGGTGGAGGGCAGAAGGAGAGGGAGGAGTTTGAGTCTGTCGCAAAGAGGAGGCAGGACAGACTGGGATTGTTGGACAGATGCACTGGGATCGCCAGCTCTCTCCCAGTCAGGAGATCAGACTGCACTGCAGGGTATATCGAACGCTGTGGTTGAGGTATTAGCGGTACTCGTCTGGATTTGGGTTCCATTATCCGGTGTAGCTGGATCTTGTTCCCATATTACCTCACACTACTTTTTGTACTGGTTGGAGGAAAGAAGGGATTTAACATCTCCCATAAACTGGGAAAAAATTGAATATTTGCGAACCAGCTGTGGAAGAGTGACACATGCTTGCCACCAGCACTGTCATGCACTGCTCACAGCAGCATCTGAAATGTTTATGGCTTAAATGCTCATAATCAGTGGCGTTTATCTAGATTTAGCAGAAATATAATTCCTAATTGCACTGGTGACCTGAATGGTGTATTACAGCAGAACGCTACACTGGCTTAGAGATGATGGGAACCCTGCTTACTGGACTCATACTCTTCCTGTTTGAGGTAATAACCTTCTCATTTTTCCATAATGATTTAAATTGATACATTTTTTTTTATGTGTGATTTTTTCATTGTTGTTACCTTTTTTATGTAAAAACAAAAACCCCAAACAAACATTTAAAACATGGAAATCCAAATTATTGATGGTCATTTTTTTTAATTTGGTATTTTGGTGAACTGGTTTCCTTTGTCCTGTAGGTGGGATGTGAAAGTGAGCCGACACATGCCGTGCCAGAAAGAGTAGAGGGCTCAAATGGTGAGAATTCTGGCTTCTCCACTAAAGGCTAAATAAACTCTCTATATTATCCATGTTTAATGAAACTTCATGTATATGTCTGACTTTCTAGGAGAAACACTGGTGTATCTGACACCACACTGGGCTTTCCAGCTGGTCAATGACTCGCTGTCCTTCTCTAGAGCCGACAGCTTCTGCAGAGGGCGGTTTAGCTCTCTCATCACCTCAGACCAGAAGGAAGTTCTGGAGCTGCTTCGGCAGGCTGGACTTCATTCCTCCGTCTGGGTCAGGGATTCCAGCAGAGTAGCCTCCAAGCCTGTGGCGCTCTCCCAGCAGTGTGAGTGAAAACGCAGTTTTAAGCTGCAGATTTTTGTTTTGTTTTGCTTTACGTGAAACACCTTTTTGGTCTCATCTTTCAGATTTGCAGTTCTCAGCTCTAAAGTTTCCGAAGGAGTCGCGTGAGGGCTTTGCACACGTCAACAAGTCCTTCCCAGCCCTCTCATCTGTCAGTGTTTGTGTTCGAGTTCAGTGGGACCCATGGTGGAGTGAGGTGTCGACCATATTTTCCTACGCTGCACCTGTCTTTACCAATGAGTTCCAGCTGCGAGGCCAAGCAGACATGCAGGGTCGCATTTTGCTGGCGCTCATCATCCATGGGAAGCACCTACCATACAAGGCATCCTTCCCAAATGATGGTGCGTGGCATCAAATCTGTGTCACATGGCAGCAGAGTGGTGGCCACTGGGCTACCTATGTGGACGGAGACAGGAAAGACACAGGCTCAGACACAGACACTTCCAGGGATATCTACGGTGATGGGATTCTGATCCTGGGGCAGGACCAAGACTCTTTTGGCGGGAATTTTACAGAGCCTTTCTTTGGAAATATAACTGACCTAAATGTCTGGAACATGTCTTTGGAATCACACCATGTCCGTCTGCTAAATGAATGTTCACCAGTCACCCAGGACCTGCTTTTCAGTTGGAACCTTGAGCTCCTTAGTAGCCACCCTGTGGTCAAAGAGGTGCAGGCCCGTTTGTTTTGCCCGGGTAAGATGACTCCTTTTAAAATCTATAACTTAAATTTATTCTCTGCTAATAAGAGCTGTTGTATGTTGGTATACTTTGTTGGCCTTGTCAACCTTGCTTTGATGATTTTGGCTCTACTTTATGAAGGAGAAATACAAAGTAAAGTAGATTTTTTAAAAATATGCACAATGTCAGACGGTTAA